CTCTCTGGAGGAGCACTCAGGGAGCTGGGGCTGCCCCAGCCCATTTGGCTGCATCACACCAGGTGCATTTGGAGTTTACAACATATCGTTGTCCTTGCATCTTCTCTGAGAAGCGTACATAAACATTCTATGTCAAACCAAAACAAAAAGCCATCCTTTCTTCCCTCCGCCCCAGATCTCCTTTACCAGACACTCGAACTTCTTCCCAGCTCTGCTCTCCCTTCAGTTCTCTCTCAGGATGCCTGAACATCGTGGGTGCTCTATCCCCGAGGATATTCTTTATGACTGTTTCTCAATCATTTTGTATTAAAGGACTACATAACTTTAGGGAAAAAAAAATCTGACTGCTGCTGCAGTGATTTTTTATGTACAGCCTCTGAGGATTTTACATATAAACTCTGAGGATTCACTGATTTTCCCCTCACTTCATTCCTTTCTTTCCCTGCCTGCATTAGCCTATGTGCTTTTGTTTTTGGGGTTGGAAAAAGGGCAGCATGAGGGATTTCAGAGCGGAGATGTTGCAAATCATCTATAAAACCCTTGCGGTGTCTTTTATCATGCCAGTAGTTCATGGACCTTGTGTTAGTACACAGCAGCACTTCCTATCCCTCAGACTGCACAAAACCCAGTCACAGCCTTGCTGGATTTATCAAGAAATATTAAATTATCAGGGCAAGATCTTGTTCCCATGTCACCACGCGACTCTGCTTGCACGCTATGCGAGATGCTAACGGAGCAAGTCAAAAGGGAAGGCAGGAGAAAGGGACAGAAGACAAACACTTGCTCACCCTCCCCACTAAATCCACCCCGGTTGTTGTTTTGGGACACTAAGTGAAGGGACAGAAGCAACTCTGCATCTCTGTCTAGGTGCCCTATAAAACATCAGCTTACATCAGTGGAGTTATCAAACTCACTGCCTTCCCATCCCATTGCAGCCCTCAGCTCCCGGATCCAGCAGCTCACGGAACATGTGCCTGTCCAGCAGGGAGGAGAAACTCCTCCCTCGCCACCCAGCATCTCAAACACCTCGGCAGGCCCCATACTGCATCCATCTTAAAAATCAGCATCCGTGGGATGTGTGAAAGGAAAGAAACAGTGGGCCCCTGGACATGTATGCGTACACATGGGAGGTAATATTATTATAGATATTTCAGTAATGTAAATAAGGCCAAAACCCCACAGTAGGGCAGTCCAAACCCCACAAGCAGGCCAGCCCCTGCACAACCAGGGCTCCAGCCTTCTACAAAGCTAAGGTCACTCTCAACAACAAATAGGAATCACTCCCAACAAACCAAACAAGCAAAAATATCCTCAAATCCGTGACCCTATGCGCTGAGCACACTCCCTTGCCCTGTCCCACACAGGTCTGTTCCATATTTAAAACTGTTTTAGCACCAGTCACAGGAGCAGCTTCTCCCCGGCAGCACAACGAGCCTGGCAAGCTGGCTATGCACCCACGGAGCTCACCCTGATGAACTTGGCACCTAAGAATGCTGAAGGAGGAAAAAAAAAAAGCCCCAATATAGGTCTGTTCAGTGCTCCTGCAGCTGGTATTTCCCCGTAGTCACCCTGGAGATGGAGCATCACACCCCAGTCACCGGCACTGGCTGTGAACAGAAAGCACCGGCGTTCTCTCCAGCGATACCATCTAGATGCCTATCGGTTCTCTACGCTGTCAGCTCTCTTTCCTCCACGTCTGATTTTATTGTGGTGGTTACCTGACCACAGGTACTGAACTTCCTGGTCTCTAAGTTAATACCTGCGTGAGCCTTGGAAATTCCGTGTTCTGCGCCTTCTCTGCCGGGAAGAATGTATTTATTTTTTAACTTAATACTTACAAGCAAACTAGTTTGGATCGATACATCCACTTCCTCCTGAGCTACAGCACTGGAAGCAAAGGCACAGCTTTACAGCCTGTGCTACTCCTTTCACTAAGGGCTAAGACATAAAAGAGGTTCTCTGGGCCGGATGTCAGTGACTTGGAAATAACCTAGAATTAACTCTAAGTGAAACCGTGCTCAACCAGCGCAGGGGTGTACATAATATATGTGAGGCTAGTCCTGCCATTCTGCTCGAAAGAACAAGAAATCTGCATGCACACATCAATTGTGCGAGGATGTGCAGCTCTCAGGAGAAACGCGTCCCTCCCTGGGTATGCACTGTTTCCAAGTAGGTCCCTGTGTGCAAAGCAAAAGAGGGAAAGCACAAAACCCTGCGAGTCTGCAGGTGCACTTCCCTGGGTACGTCTCACAAACCTCCTCTCTGCCAGGCTACAGCGAGGAGAGACCTCACACCCCTCAGCCACCAAGTCTCAGCCTTACAGGTGTGACAGCTGGGACTTTGCTTTCGGGGTCCCAAAACACATCACCTGAAACAACACCAGCCACTCACCCCCATCGGTCCGGCCACAAACCTAACGCACAGTGACATGGACGTGCCCTACAAGGGTACCCCCAAGACAAAGCAACCCCGCGCTGCGTTAATCTGCAGCACAGGCAAGCAAGGGCAAGCCTGAGCTCTGCAAGCACCCCTGGAGCGCCTTCATTCATTCGGAGGAGCCCAGCTCCGGCCTCTCACCAACTCACCCAGCCCTCGAAGCTGTCGCTGGGGCCCGCCGAGCGCAGGAGGTCTTGGAAGTGCAAGGTGCAGTTGGCCACGAAGTCATCGTAGCCGATGGGGGTGTCGTGGAAGACGGAGAGCTCGAGCTGGTGGCCGTCGGTGACGGTGGCCGAGAACTCCTCGTTGTAGGTGGGCTTGTTGGTCTTCTGCTTGGTGCTGGTCTGCCCGACTCGCACCTGGTCCACGCTGACGGTCACGTAGGGGTCCAGCAGCTGGTAGCCCTTGCGGAACAGCGAGTGGCGGAGGGACCAGCGGGTGGGCTGCAAGCCCACCGCCTCCCCGATGCGCACCTTCAGGTACCCGTTGAACTTCATGGCTCCGGACATGGCCGGGAAGAGAAGGGGACCCCCGGGAGGAGAAGGGGACCCCCGTGCCGAGCCCAGCCGAGCCGTGCCCGCAGCCAGCCCCCGCCGCTCCTCCTCAGGGGGCCGGGCGGCGGCGGCGCAGCCTCCCCGGGGCCATGCCGGGGCCCCGGAACCGCCGCCCCCGCTCCTCGCCCGAGCTTCCCCGCCCGGCCCGGGGCTTCTCGGAGCGAGGAGAGGGAGGGAAAAGGGAAGGGAAAACGGCTCGGCACGGCTCGGCTCGGCTCCGGGGACACCTGGATCGTGGGACGGAGCCGGGCGGGGAGGAGCCGCCAGCCCCGGGAGGGCGGGCCCGGGCACGGGCTGGGAGCGGCGGCGCGGGCGGGACGGGCCCTGGGGTCGGGGGCTGAGGGGGAGAAAGGAGGAGGCGAGGGAGGCAGGGAGGGCTGGAGGATCCCTCGTTCTGCCTCAGGTTTTAACGAGAGAAGCGGCTGCAGGGAGCCTCCAGACTCCTCGCTGCGAAGTTTTGCTGTCCGCTGGGGTTAGCTGAGCGTGATTCAGGCGGCTGGCACGCAGGGGTTGCTGCGGGTTGCTGCCTGCGCTCAGTAAAGCCAGCAGCCAAGTGCTGGTAATGACGCTTCAAACTTCGCAGGAGACGTGGTGTGAAGCGGGTAAAGGGGCAGCGAAATCCTGCCATTCCCGTGGCGCTTCATCCACCTCCGCAGCAGAGGCCGTGGTCACCCAAAGGTCCCTCAGGGGACGAGGACACGCAGCCACCCAGCCCTGCTGGCAGCTGGGCCCTCGCAAGGGTCAAGCATTTTGGATGCTGAAGGGCCACGGGGCAGCCCCGCGGTGCCCCAGGTTGGGATGTGATGGAAGGAGCTGCTGGCCTTGCTCCACGTTGCTGCGGCTCCTCCCGCCTGGCCCTAGCCCAAGGAGCCCTCCCTGCCCCGACCCAGCTCCTTCCTTGTAGCTGCCGTGTGTAACGCAGTCCTGTTCAGGTGTGGAGGTGTCCTCCTTCCTCCTCTGCCTTGTCTTTTATTTTCACTCCTTCCTGTCCCTCTCACATCTCCCCGCTCTCTTCTTTTTGTGTGTTCCTTTCAGTATTTTTTTCCTTTCTTTCACATTTTCAGCCTATTCCTCTGCCCTCGGCCCTTTATCCTCCACGTTCTAAGTGGCAGGCTGCCTCTGCTTTCCCACCTTGTTTCCTCGCCCTTTTTTCCTTCCAGATGCTGCACATTTCACAGGAGCTGAGTGCAGGAGCACCAAGCCAAGAGTCCTGCCAGCCTCAGACCGAGCAGGGCTCCTGTTCCCTCCTCGGGAGAGAGCAGGTGGAACAGGTTCAGTAATGGGATAATTCCTAACAGGGAAGCAACAGTTCTACCAGAAAATCTTGCAGACCCTTAAAAACAGACTTTTGACAAGCAGCCTGCAAGGCTTTTAAGTCCCTTGATCTATAACTATTAGCTGGAGATAAGAATTGGTTCAGAATTTTTGAGCTTTGTTATTTTTTTTTTCCAGCGGACTGTAAGAACTGCTGAGGTTGGACTCGATGATCTTGAGGTCTCTTCCAACCTAGAGAGTTCTGTGATTCTGTGATTCTGTGACAGGTCATCCTGCGGAGGAACACAGGTCTAATTTCAGAAATGGCCAAGCTGCAGGATATGCAGCCACCACAGACTCCAGGATCGTGTCTCTAGCAAAGTCCAGCTCCAGGTCTTTTAACAGAAGGTAGGGCTAAGCAAGCACAGAGTATCCTGTCCCCATAACAATACTTCAGGATTCAGGGAAATTGTTGGTCTGATACTCCTGAAATACACTTCATCATTAGCTATCATCATTCTGGATAGTTTTCTTCTCCCTAAAGATCCAGTCCTTTTTTAAATCTTCGTGCCTTCATGGATTTTTCTATTCCACAGCAGTGAGTTGGTCAGAAAAAATTAGTTTCTTTTCATCAGTTGTGCATCTGCTATCTCTTTAGTTTCTTGTTTCACAACTGCTCTCCTTTCATGACACCATAAGTATATATATATATATATATATATATATATATATATATATATCATTACTTTCTGAAGTGCATCATCATTTGTCATTTCGCACTTTCATCATCTCTGTCCTTCCTAGCCGTGAGCTGTCCCTTGGAGTCTGGGCAGATCCTGTACTGACCAGGATGGTCAAAGTGTTGTAAGTGTTCTTACAGTACTTCATCATGACTCTGTGATGACTGCAGATGAGACCTGAAGACAGTGAACTTTGAAGCACCAACCATGAATGTCCACGGGACGAGGCTGAAGGCCTTATAAAGTCTGGAGCGCCTACTCTGTAAACTTCAAATCATCAAACATAGATTTTACTCTGCCCAGAGGCCTTCAGAGAGCTCAGTGCAATAGCAATCAAGAATGCTGATTTAAGAAGAACAATTTTTGGCTTAGCCATTTCCCTTGACCTTTTTCTGAGGAAGCAGAGATGAAAGCCTTCCCAAGCAACTTGTTAGAAGTAATCACGTATTTACTGACACAAACAGGGAGAAAACAAAATCTGGTAGTTAAAGGTTCAGGCGATGCTGTTTCCTCTGCTTAATCACAGAAGCTGAAGTTCTTTGCTGCGCTGGATTTTTACATACAAAAGAAGTAGGAAAGGGGACATTCCTTTTTCTACACAGTGGCATACTGGATTCTCATGTGATAACGATTCCTGAACCTGGGCATTAAAAAAAACAGCAACAGTATTGTAAAGCTTACAGAAAATGCAGGTGAACTATAGTGATATGTTTATGATTAGCAGCAGTACACATTGCCAGCCAGTTTTCCATTGGAGGAAAAAATTGATCCTGTGCACTCATCTGATGTGAACATAATTAATTTTGTTTATCCACTTGAGCCAGTCTGGAACAGATCATCTCGAACAGCATCTGAACCCACCCCTATTCTGAATTCCCAGCCAAAACCCAAATGACCCATTCTCAAAGAGACCCGGCTAGTGACATAACGTCAGAACATACCCTGCCTACTCTCCAGACACCCAAGCAGTGGAGAAACATCCCCAGTTCAGTGTTTTCTTCCAAGAAACAAAACATCCCTTCACAGGGTGACCTTGCGAGGCTGCATGCAGCAGCACCATCTGGTGATGGCTGCTGCATTGAACCTCCTTGCACAGCTCTCGGTGCCTGGCAGGAGCTGGGGTGTCTCCAGGAGCACGGCTTCTCTTCTCCTCCACAGCAGGAGCTCGGAGAACTGGCTCCAGACACGGGCAAGTTGATTCATTTTGTGCCCTCAAAGAGTTCAGGGAGGCTGAGCTCTTCCTGGTGCTTCCTGCCCAGCTGCATGGTTTCCTGAGCAGTCGGCCGATGACACACAGTTGTTCAAGAAATGGACTGCGAAGAGGGCACGGATCTCCTGGTGCTGTTCCTGAGCAGCAGAACGGCCGGTAGCATGCAACGGCTACAAAGACAAAACAAAGCACAAGGCAATACAATCGGAATTACAGGTGAATTGCAGGATAAACAGAGAATAGGCACTCCTAGTAACCTACCACTCTAGGAGAAGATTTTAGAGCAGTGGTGGACAGACCCCTGGAAAATCAGCTTAGTGCTCACTAATTGTCAAAAAGGCAAACGGACTAGTAGTAATTATTAGGAACAGAACTGAGAGCAAAGTGGTAATGAGGCACAATATATATGGTACACCCATCCCTTATATTGTGTGCAACTCTGCTTCTCCCACCACCTCACAAAGCACAAAACAGAATTAGAAAAGGAACAGAAAAAAAAAAAAAAAGATGATAAATGTGATCAAAGGTATGAAACGGGGCTGTGGAGGGAGAGAGACTGACTAGCTTAAGATTTCTCAGCATGGGAAAGAATGACCGAAGGGGAAAATGTGGCAGAGATCTGTACAATCACACACCATATGAGCTGGATGAATGGGGAAGGATTTTTCATTTTTTCCCACATAAGACCTAAGGGGCACTTGCTGAAATTATGAGGTAGCAAGTTTAAAATATACAGAAGCAAACACCTTTTCACACTGTGTGTAGCTACAATATAGAATCCATTGCCAAAAACAGATGCCAGAAATATAAACAGCCTCATAAAGGGGCTATACATTTACAGAGGATAGACTTAGTGGTGGCTACTGACCAGCAGACAAACTCAGGAAATCCTTCAACCACAAATTGCCAGCTGGGAGGATTCAACAGAGCAAGGAACACTCTGTGTTTCTCTTATTTCTTATTCCTTTATGCTTAAGCATCTTATTTGTTACTCTGAAGCCTCGGCCACTGGCCACTTTTTGGAACAGTGTGGCTAAGGATGATGAATCTAGGAGAGAATGAGTATGCCTGTTCTGTTCCTCTGGATTGTAATTTCCATATCTAAGTGAGAAAGCTCAAGAATGACACTTCTTGAGACTGGCTTAGTCACCATTCCTGCAGATGAGGAAATGGCCAAAGAAGGGACCAACTCCCTGAGATTACTCTTGCATTCTTCCTTCAGGTCACAGTAACCTTAAGGATAAGTTTATGCCAGATCCCTCTTATATTTTTGGTAGCCTATCTGGAAAATTTGCCACTTAGTTTTGCAGACAGTCTATGATTTAAATTTATGATTTAAGCCTGGCCTCATTTCACACTACAGCCATGCACAAATCAGAGCCCATTCATACATCGTGTAAAAGCCTCCACTTCCTTTTTCCTTCTAAAGCGTATACTATTCCCTTCACCAATAACCTATAATTCTCTAATAATTTAGTATCGTCCCCATTTGGCAAGTTAAGAGCAAATGCTTGAACTGCTCCACTTGAAATTTCTACCAAACACTGGGCACATTCAGAAGTGAGTCAGTAAAGTGATGGAAAAACCTTGGCTTTCACAACCACCATTGCAAAAATGTTATTGACATCTCTTGTAGATGGAACTGCAGTTAAATACATTTTAAAAGCATAAAAAATAAAAGAGCTGTGGAGGTTAGTAAAGCAGGAACTAACTCTATTTGGTTCCTCTATTAATTTTAGCCTATTTATACAACTTCCCTTTTATAGTTCTTTCTATAACAGTGCTTGTTAAATGTCTAAATAATGACAGCTGCTAAAAACTGAATATCCCATGTGTGGAATCATTTGTGGTCTGGAAAAAAATAATCTAATTCCCCTCTAATGATAATAATTACAGGATCAGTCCAAAACCTACTGAAATTACAAGCAAAGCTGCTATATAAGAATCAGCCCTGGGTTGTACGTCTGCTGTCACTCCTGGTTTATAGTTTTAGGGCAAAGTAGAGAGAGACATTTAGCCTAATATCAGCTTTTCTTATTTAGGATACATACTTATTTTCCACAGCTAAACCGGAGCTCACATGATCCTTGTTATTTTATTATTTATTTATTTACTTTGGAAAACACCAAGTCATTTTATAAAGTGCTGGTGTTATAAACTGCAGAATATAGTTTATAAGAGCACTAACTCCTACAAGCCAACCATTAATACAACTAATGGCCTGTTTGTTGTATTAAACTGATCTCATTTGTCTGGCTCAATTAACAAATGCAGTGGTCATTAACAGTTAACAGCAACTCAGTTATTAGATTTTATTACTTGTACAGGAAACACTGGAGAACAAACTGATTGTTTTGGTTTACTGGGGTGTATTTCTTTCCCAGCAGTCTTGCCCTATTATTTATAATTTAGCCACTTGCTTATTCCCAAACATAACTGACACGCTCAGGAATGGGTTCAAAGTCATCCGTGTAGCCAGCCAGTTCACTTGCCAGCCCCCCAGCCCCATAAACCTCTCCTTTAAACCAGAGAGCTCCAAGGTACCAGGCATCTGCAGAGGCCCATTTTTCTGATTTTTCTGCAGCTTTTTGTTGGGCAGCAGCTTCCATCCATATATAAAACGATGGGATTTAAGTAAAAGGTAAAATAATGTGTATCTAGGAGGCTGTAAAATCTCCTGCCTCAGTCATGGTTCTCTTTCTCTGTCTCTCTCAATGTCTTTCTCTCCCTCCCTTCCTAAATCACCGAAATCCAATATGCAAGATTAAATGTGTATTTTACTTCTTGTTTGGACTGATGCATCAAGTAATGGTGATCTCTTTCTGCCTTGCACAGACATTTAAACCAGGTAATTTTAGAGGTCTCGTCTGGTTGACAAATTAGCTTAGAGCAAACACTTGTACATGAGGAATATCACTCGGTGTCATTAAGCTTGGGAGGACCTCCCATATTCTGAATGCTAAAGACCCCTGACACACACCTTCCTTGCTCTGCTTTCTTCGCCCTGATTTAGTTCACAGCAATAGAAAAACAATACCAGCGAGGGACCAACAAAGGCTTGTCATGAAGGTGGCTTTCATCAAGCAGTCTGAGCGGCTCTCTTCACCCTGCATTGCCGCGATACACAAATGAGGGAGGAGACACCCACAGCTGTGTTGTTAGTCCTCTTTGGAAACAGGATCTTCTGGACTCCCAGCAGCCAGTGTTAGGGCAGACTGGTACTGCAAGACAACTATCAGAGCTTCTGAGGTGGAGATACGTGAAGTGACTGTGCCTTACCCTCTGTGGGATAAGTGTGTGTAATGAGGCTGAAATAACTCAATTTCTGAGCTATTGGGCTGCGCTATAGCCATAAGTTCTCTCCTCCTACAAAGGCACAAGGGTATACCTAGAATAAATGATGTTACCCATTCACCAAAGGCTTTGGTGGATCAGAAAGGTATCCAGCACAGTGGTGACACCGCCAGGTGCTTAACTGCCCGAAGAAGAAAGGCTGCACTCCTTCAAATGATGTTCACAAGGCAGTGTCTGAGCATGCTGCACTGGAGACGCCCCACCAATCTTCTTATTTGGCTGATCAAATAGGGTCTTACCATGGTTTGATTACACACAGAGTGATCAGAGGGCCACAATGGCACAAAAATTTGGCCAATTACAATAGCCCACTGCTACCTGCAAACCCATTCAGATGCTGTGGCAGCCAAAGGGTCCTATACAGCATCATGAGGAAGAAAGGTGAGAGATTTTGCTAAGAGCAGGCACAGGATGCTGCTAGTTTGTATGACCAGCACGGGCAATTTGAAAGGTTTTCTGTCACTCCTGGGACAGAGGTTAAAGTCTCTTCTATGTGCCAATGCCTGAGTCTCACTGGTGTGGGCATGGGGAAGTGTAATGTTGAAGTGCTGGGGACTGAAAGATACAAGTCAGCTTATCTGCTCCTGCCTATAAATGAGAAACTTTGGATACAACTTCCCTCCTATCAGCTTCTGATAACAACTTCCTTCCTACCCTCTTTCCCAAGCTAGCACGTGCTAACATATTGTGCAACAGAACCAGTCAGACAAGAAATGGGAAGGTGTTCAAGAAGCCCGAAGATGAACACATTACACCATTCAGAAGCTGACTCAGTGGAGACTTGCTAGGAATGGCACCAGATCCTTGGGCATGTGTGCATCCTCCCTACCTTGTAGTGACCAAGAGGGGCAACTAAAAAGAGCATCTCTGCCTCTTCTAGTTCCTGCTACGGCTCAGAACATTAAATCCCGGGATTTTCCATGGACAGCAGGACTGTTCAAATACAGAGCAGACAACTCAGTATTTGCTTTACATGCAAAAAGAAAGAAAGCAGGTGGCAGATCTGTGATCCAGATCCTTGCTACAGAGTATGAGCTCCTTGCTCCCCAGTCTTGCATGAGATATCATGCAGCTTCACCAACCTCCCTCTCCTGTTTCACGTCCATCTGCATCCAGCTCCCCTTGCAAGAATGGGTCTTTCAAACCAGTTACTGGGCATTTCACGAAGCACGTTATTCCTTCCATTTGCTTCCACTGGATCGTTTTTCTTTCTCCAAGGATCTGGGTGTCAGCAGAGGAAGAGATCCTGTAACAGCAAACAAAAATTACGTTATTGTTTCTTAGTGGACCCAGCCAGCCAGCAGCGACAGGCTGGTTCGTCCATTTGTGAGATGGCTTTGTTTATTCTTTCCGTACTACTCAGGTCACAAGCTACCACCCAAGCCAAGCTGCTGAGCCCTAACTGCATGTGGCAAGAGATCCACATTCAGCTCATTTGAAAATAAATTGAGCTAGGAAATTATGTTAGGATTCAGAGGGGAGTGTCAGGCCAGGTCCTCTTGCTGCAACAGTACGTAGCTTTATTTCAGATCAAGAAAGCCTAACCACTGTGTTCCCAACCAGAGAAGCAAGGTTTTAGTGAGGCCCAGAACTGAGCTTTTAAATCTGTCTTTAAATCTTGTCTCTGCAGCACACACCTGATCAGGCACAGATGCAGATCTCTGAAGTAAAAGCTGCCAAGATACCCTGGAGGAAAAATAGCTTCTGGAGGCAGCTGCTTGCCACAGCCAAATGGAGTCCTCACGGTGACAGCCCATTTCCTGGGCTCCTGAGCTACTCAGACAAAAACAAGAAAACCCCAAGGAACAAGCTGAAGGCAAGATGAATAATGCTAATGAACATATCAAGTCTGGACTTTTGGGAAAGTACCTTTGTTCTACTTCATCTGACCAGAAAACCTCCTCTGGTTTCATTCCTGTCCATTTTCCCTTTCCAGAACTTTTTCTATCCTTCCTCTGTCTCTGCTGCAGGGATCCACCTACTGAGAAATGGCCACAGTCAGGGCCATCAAGACTTCATCCAGCAAGAGTGTGTATTTTGGACATGGGCTGATAGTCTTGACCTGGGGATAGTCCTCCCTTGAGCCACCTAGCATCCTCGTGCTGTCCCTGACCAACCAGCATCACAGCAGAGGGACATCTCCTACAGTCCTTTGGCTGAGGTTAATGAATAAAACAGGAAAGGAGTAAGTCCTGAGGGTTGTGTTGGTCAGGTGTCAGTCGTGAAGTAAATGAAAAGGGTGCAGGAGAAGACCAGCCAGGGCATCACGGGATGCCAGTGTAGGACAAACAGAACCTCGGTTCTGTACCCTGGGCTGCTGCTCTATCTCCACTACCAAAGATGCGAGGTAGAACTGTTGAACCCAGTCAAACCACTTTTATACCTGGGCAAATGTATTTTTGTGGTATTGACAGGTATCACAGATGGTTTGTATTACAGTCCCGAGAAGTTCTAAGTTCCACTCTCATTAAAGACATACTGAAAGGATTCATAGGCACGAAGGCCTGGGCACACGCGCACTAACTGTTCCTAAGGCTACCAGGAGGTAGCTATGAAGAATGCCATAGCTGCAAAGTTACAGAGCTCTGCCATCTCACTGGAGTTTGCTCCTGAAGAGCAGAGGGCAAAGTAGGGTAAGGTGCATTCAGCTTGCACGCCTCTGAATCTCCAGCAGAGTCCCAGCTGCACGAGACCTTGTGCAGGTGCCAACACGACGACTCTGGGAGAGGAACTCTGCTGGCTCTGGAGAGCCGGGCTTTGCGTTGCTGAGGAGACTCGGAAGAAGTTTGGCAGACAGCTCTGAGGGCTGCCGTGCTCAGGCCCCCAGGAGACAAAGCGACACCCCGTCTGCCTGCATTGAGTGAGAAATAATCTCTGTGAGAAATCAGCGTGAATTGTGCCTGCCTGCCTGGTTCTCATGGGAGAGTCTGAAAGAGGTGAAACAGCAAGTGATGGTGAGCTTGATGCACAAAACCACTGCAGTGGTTCCTGGAGATCTGTTTGAGAATTAAACACTCCAAATGTTCCCCAGAAGTGTTTAATATGAATATTATTCCTTAAGCAGTAGGACGTTGTCCTTTTCCTGAGTAGTTTAACTTTGCATTTTTATTTTTTTTGAAGTCTTCAAAAGACTGAACTATGACCTGTGCTAAAACAATAGTAGATATTGTTTAACAGTAAGTAGGTTAAAGAAGAAAGAAAAATAAATGCATTAAAGTAATGGGACTATTATGACTACATGTTGCAGACTCACTCTGTTAGCTAATAATACCTAACTGAGTTGGCTCTTGTAATATTAGGAAAGGATCAACAAGCCCTCAAGGTTCTCCTTTTGGACAGGACTTAGCCTGATCTTTCAGTTTCCTGCCATGTCTCTCATTAAATTCCCTTTTCTCACCAAAAAAAAAAAGAAAAAAAATCTCATCTGCTGAGAACTGCACATTCTTTTTATCATCTCAAGTGCTGAACTCTGTTCACCGAAATGCAAGAGTTCGCCAATAATCTCTATTTATCTGTACATTTTTGAGTAACCACAAGAGCTATCATCTTTCATATCTTTAGAGCAGATTGAAGTTGAAAAGCAAGTAGGAAAGGGTTAGAATGAATAGAGTTAAAAGTATACTGAGGTGAGTCTATTATCAAGAATATAGTGATAAAGAGGAATGTTCAAACAGAGAAGGGAACAATTACCCAGACTAGGTGACAAGAAGAAGGAGAAACATGTAGGAGGTACTTCTGGGTATTATTAGCCTTTAAGCTTGACACAAGGAATATAGGTTTCTTTCTTCAGTCCCTTACAAAGAGCTCTCCTCTTGGTTCAGAAGCAAACCCCAGAACATGCCTCAGCATACAAATGCAGTGCTGTGGCAGGCCTGCACTTCTAGGATGTGCTTTGCATCAGATGTGCTTCTCTGTTTCCACTTTCCTCATTGCTGATAGCAAGAACACATGCTGTGTGTGCACTTATACTGAGATCTTTAAAAGCTCAGGAAATCATAACTCTGTGATACCAAAATGCTAACCCCAGTGCCCCTGATACCAACTGTTAGATTCCTAATTACTTAAAATAACGCCACTGTTGGTGCACACCTACATGTACACATTAAAGTTACCTGCAGGTCCCCATCCCCACTTCATGGTGGGTACCACAGTGATACTCTTCCCCTTTCGAATCAGAGTATAGGCTCAGACAACAAACACCGCTGCAGGTTCAAGCACAGTTGTCTCACAAATGGTACTGAGGAATTCTGAGATGTCTGTGAAGAAATAGAGAGAGACAATTGGGAAACAATGGTGAGGACATCCCTGTGCATCCCAGCTCTGCTGAGAAGCCCCAAACTGCACAGATGCTGCAAACTGTACACACACACAGATGCTCTCGCTGAGCTGCAGCTCACTGAAATAAGCAAGGGAGGAAAAAACAGTATCTCAGGATTGCTCTAAACCTTCAAGGCCTTGATCCAAAACCTTAGAACCTGTAAAACATTTAGAGACCAGGCATACACACGCTGCACAAGAGAAAGCACCCCCATGCACACAGCGCTGCATCTGCCAGGAACTGTAAGAGCAGAGCTAAGAAAACCAGGTTTTCTTCTATTATCCAACGCCTCTAGATGGAGCTACCCCTTTTCTTTTCAAGCCAAGCAACAGATAGTGAGGCACCGGCAGACCTAAGCCAAGGCAAAAGAAATCTAATGCTTTGTAAGGGAAGCAAGCTTAGGCATTTGCAGCAACGTGCACATCCTTTAGCATACGTTTTGCTGTCATTAGATATTCTGAGCTTTTTTGTAATCCTTCTGACACCAGCCATGATACCCGTGCCCTAATTTACAGTCACCCCTTCCAGAAGAGTAATGTTGGGGTGAGAAGAGTCAAAGTGGATGGCAGAGTGCTGAGACCTGAATGCCACCCAGCAGGACAGGGACCAGCCATGCTAATTTATCTCAGTGGTGTGGCACTGGGAGCTCAGCTCAGTGCTGAACGACACCCCTTTGAAGAGGGAAACACTACAAAAAACGAGACACTGAAGAACTCCTCTGCCTCCTGTGATGGGGGACTTCATCTCTAGGAGCCCTGCCCCTTCTGGGCACAGCCAGTAGTCCTCAGAGTTCAATGGTTCCATGCAGGGCCAGCCTGTCTGGAGAGAACTGACCACGCGAGTGTCACGCTCAGCCTTGAGATCCTGTAACCCTGGAGGATGAGCCCTGAGGGTACCACCATGCCAGACAGAAGGAAATAATAGTATTACACCCCTGTTTGTACTGCAATATCACTGCCAGGTCTGAGAACCGCAAAGCCCTGATTTTGGAAAGATTAAGGCAGCACACATCTCCCTTTAAGCATCACCCCTAAACCCACCTGCACCCTGTCAGCCTTGCAGGGGGTGAAGAGCACAGAAGGGCAGGCTCCAGAGCCACCATTTCATTTCCCATAATTTCTCCCCAGCGCTAAAAAAGCCCCATGGAAGGCCGGGCATCCCTGCCCTCCCCTGTCAGCTGCTGTGTTTCAGTGCTGCCAGCGCCTGTTCCACTAGAGGGTACCCTCGCCCCACACTGGTGCCACGCAGGAAGCTCTGCTGAATGCTGCTCCTAATGAAACCTGAAGGCCAGGCTCAGGAAAGTAGAAATCAAACTTTACAGAAAAGCATGCTGTAATTTTATGATGCGCTTTAATTTGACTCTGTTTAGGTAGAGCAGCCCCCTGGGCAGGCTGGGACCGCACCGTGCAGCGTACGGCTGTGCTTTCAACTTACAGCTCCTGAAACGTAACTGTTAGAGCCTCACGTGCAACCAGAGCTGGAAATGACCCTGGGGAGTAAATGGAAAAAAAAAAATAAAATAAAATTAAAAAAACAGGAGGCCCACAGGAGCTCACATTTAAAATACATGTTTAATTTTATTGGAAGGATAAGGGCAAAAACGTTCAGATCTCTAATACTATTTATTATAGCAGTGCCTGAGGGGAACCAAATGAGCACAGGGCTGCTCTGCGTTCAGAAGTGGACAAACACCTAATAAGGAGCACACAGCTTGTCCCTCATAACTTGCAATCTAAATAGACAAGGCACAAAGAAGGAAGGAAAACAGAGCAAAGCAGGACAAAGAGGTGTCCCAAGACCACCCTGCAGATGGAACAGAGCTGGGAGCAGGACCCAGGTCACCCAGTTCTCCTACCAGAGTCACCTCCTTGGCTCACGCTATCCCAATTGCTGTATGTGCACAGCATGTCCTGGTTCACTGTGTTTTGTTTCTTCCAGCTCCGTTACAAACATGGATGTACAGCTCTTCTGAATGCCAGGTCCCCCGCAGCTCAGTTTCAGCTAGACTAAAGCAGGTCACAAGAAAGAACTAGCATGAGCAAACATTAGCCTAAACTGTGACCTAGAAAAACGAACCAAATATTTGGAAATGCCACTTATTTTCATGTCAATGGAAACTAAACCCAGCACTTCAAGCTCTGCTTGTTCCAATACCTCCCATATCCCCGGAGACTGGCAGTAAAGTCTGCATCTGCCATATTCTAATGGAAGCTCAGAAGGATTTGGTGAGCACTGGCTCATGTAACTGGCTGTGCCAATGGTCAGTTTTCATTGTTTGTTACTAAAAATTACTGAATTCATGCAACTCCATTTCACTCCCAGGGAAAGTGAAAAGCTCTTGGCTACACGGAGCAAAATCCTCCTCAATCCTGGAACTTCTGCCCCTGGTCTGCTCCAGGTTGCTGTTAAGATCTGTTTTGCTCTCTACCAAACTGGTAGAAAGCAGGTAGAAATTTGCATACTTACTCTAGAAACCACAGGAAAAGTTTTTCTCCCACTTTTTTTTTTTTTTTTTTTCTCATTCATTTCATCAGCAAACAGGTCCTTTCCTGCTCACCACTCTTTAGATATCAGTGAAGGTGGAATATAGAAGGTGGATGATGCTGGGTCAGTCAGACAGCATGGTGTTTTCCCAGGTTAGAATACATCAAATACATCAAGGGAAAATATATGCAACTTTGAATATCCTAAAAAAAAAAAAATATATAAAAAAAAAATTAACAGCCTCAAACCAATGATAATAACAGTTTGTGTGAATATTTGGAATTGATCCAGGCACATCACTGATCAAATTAAGGAATTATGAAAGATACATTAAGACACATAACAGCCTGAGGTCCCCCACAGCAAATACAATAGAAGAATCATTAACTGGTAGGGCAGCAAGGAGTCTTTCAGCAAAAAATGGATTAAGCATTCCATTGAATCAAAACCCTCAGATGGGAAAAGTGCTGGTTTCCACCCAGCTCCCGGGGGAAAGTCGGCTCGGCACAGGATGGGATTGTGGTCAGTGTTAGATACAGGTCAGCAGACAGGACGCTCTCATGGGATGCAGCACACCAAGGTGTAAATCCTACATTTGCAAAAGGACTTGAACTTGGGTCTTCAACACCTCCAGGGACTGCCCTAACCACAGGGCTATTTGCTATTTTGGCACCAGCCCTCTTATTCACTCAGCATTTTTTGCAGTAAAAGGAAAGGGAAAAAAAAAAAAAAAAAAAAGGATTTAATAACAGAAAAAATAAATCTTCAGAGGGCTGATAAATTATTTGCTTCCCCACACTAATCACTTAGCATCTACCTTGCATGCCAGAAACTATCCCTGATGTCTAAAGACAGAGTTGGATGGAAAAGATTAGATCATGAGATCACTAGAGCTGAGCACTAGTGGACAGTCAGGAAAACCTGTGTACATCTGTCCTCACTGGGATAATTACTGAAACCCTACTGATGTTGCTGGGGAACTTTCCTGTCTGAGAAAGGGATCCAAGGATCAGTCCTGCAACATTAAACTTGGCTACTATAAAACTTGTCCAAATAGTGTTGGTGGCTCATTTCTCATTCAAACTTTTTTTTTTTTTTTTTTTTTTTGGGGGGGGGGGGGTGATGCGGGGGAATAAACTAGGGCAGATTTCTCACTTAAAATTATATGATGTGGTTTTGACTAATGTGATTGTTTCTGATGTATGTGTCTATACAGCTTTGCCTGTAAAACATTTTAGGAGCTTTGTGCACAAGATGTGTTCTGATATAGGTGGATTATACACGAACAAGTGGTACAATGAATGCACAATCACACGCTCCCCAAAACCCCTGTGGGTCATTAGATATCAGAAACAGCGCCTGAAGGTCCCTTTTGGAAGCCTTACATACGTGCCTGGAGCTTTCTCCCTGGATTCGATTGACTGATTTACAAAATGAATAGCAGATGAATGGCTGTCATTTCCCCGCTGATTTTGACAGTGGCAGCACCCTTGTAGCAATCAATGTTTTTTAACAAAAAACCACCATGTATTTCAACTGAATCGTTGAGCTGTATTTTGGCATTCTGTTTACGATAAAGAATTATTTGTTATTGAATCCTTAGTGGTCCATAGCATCAACTTTGTTCTAATTACCTGGGCAGCCAAGTAACAGTTTTCTCCATTTACATATATTTGTAGGACTATAACCAGCAAGAAAGCCACGAGTGACTGGGCCAGTAAACAGTGCACTTTGCTGACTAGTGTTTGTTTTATAACCTTTGGCACAACTTGATATGTACATAATAATAGTTCTTAACCCATAAATAATATTTTACAGAGGTCACACTATAGTTATTTAAGTTCAGGGGGTTATTTCCCAGAACACTAAGTAGCTGTGAATGAATTATGTTTAGTCTGATCTGCCACAGAAGGGTCATAAACTTATAAGTTGTAGCAAACCATGGAATATTACTCCTGTATGTCAGGCAAACTGTAAATGGTAAAGAATAATGCCTGATAAGGGGAAAGTCTTTTTATTTTGTTAAAGTAATATGTGTTCCTAGGGAAAGACTATAAAAATTCATGTTAACTTAAGTGACAATTTGGGCAATCTCTCCACATAGAGCTTGTGAATTCTGCTTGATACAGGGGACTCTCTCTGCATGTCTGAAAGGCTGCAAACTCCATTCTGAGCAGGCAATTTTTTTCTTTCTTGGCGCCCCCTTGGCTTGCAGTGTCCCAGAATCTACAGGAGGTGATCGGAGAAAGTTTTGTGCCTCTGCACAGAGCTAATAAAAAAGAAGAGGGTCATTAAATGTTGATGATAGCCTGTTCAAATGCAACAGCCTTGGACAAAGAGACGGCTACCACCTCCTTTATTAAGTCTGATAAACACATATGGGACAGGGAGGGAAGAGCATTAAACTTAGGAAAAGACATAGGGCAGGGGTCTTTGATCACTTCAGAGGCTGCTCAGGGTCACCTGACAAAGGAAGGTAGAGCAGAAAGCGGTGCCGGTGAATTGGCAATGAAGAGACCAAAGGGACTGTGTGTTCTGGGAAAGACACCTTGTGCAGGAAACAGGAGATGAGGGGCAAACTTGTGTAACAGAGGGAAATTTGTTAATTGCAAGACCAGCTGAGCTGAAGAAATCCAGCCAAGGAGAGGGAAAAGGCTCCTGAGTCCTGAAGGGAAGACACAGACAGGAAGAGTGAGGGGGCCAGACCTGCAAGAGCTCTGACTTGATCCCAACGAGTACGTAAAAATGAGGAAAGCAGGAAAGTGCATTTGAGTCTATATGGTTTTGGGGCTGGTTACAGTAATCACTTCAAGACAGTGACTGGATTTAGAACCTGCAGCAAAACTCGAGTTTCTTTGTGCTTCCACCATCCCATGCCCCCAAAGCACGAACTGCAAGGCTAGAGCCCTACAAAAGGGCAGCGTTAGGCAAGGAGGAAGAACAACGCTGGTCCTGAGGGTGTTCAGCTTCTGCACCACTAACTCCCATCTCAGCAAAGAGGCAACAGATCCTGCACTGGGCTTATGCCCAGGCCTCAGCCCCCAGTTAACCTGGGGTGAGTCTAGAAGAGTGCAACACAGCAGCCGGTCACCGCGCGTGGCCTATGCATGCTCAAGCCCACGCCATGCTCCCCTCCCGCAGGGCCTGCGACCCGGCCCTGTGCTCCCCCTCCTCATCGCCACCCCATGACCTGCAGAAAGGCCAGGGCTCCTAAAAATCTGAAGAGTTTCACAGGTGACCTTCACGGGATGCCTTACTGAAGTGGTAACAACTTCCCGAAACAAAGCACAATCTGAACCAAGGGGATCAATAATACAATCAGATTGCTCTGGCTCTCCAGATTTTTCCGACTCCAACCAACTCCTTTGCTCCCGCTGACATCGAGGGGGGGGCTTGCTGAGAAATTCTAGCCAGCCTGGAGACTTTGAAGACAAGGAGATCAATAAAAATAAAAGTCACCAGCTTTATTTTTCCAGTGTGCATTGCTAGTGCTGGAAGCCTCAGACCAGGCCTAGCTTTTGCGGGCGCTGTGGCGTGGTGAGGCAGAACCTCGATCGCCACCCAGCTGAGCCCCCTGTTACTGGCAAGTGGTGTGAATGTCCTGGCACCTCCTTCTATACAAAATTAGTCCTGCCCAAATGAATACTTGTATACCGGTGGGGGAGATTTTTAAAGTAAAAATATGACAGTGAATTGTTGAGTTCCCATTGAAAGCCAGCAGGAGATGCATGCCTAACTTGCTCGTTTGCCTTGAAGAACTTCAACGAATATTATTTAGAAATATATTAACTATCAAAAGGAAAATAAAATTTGAGTGATATGTCCTGACTTCTTCAAGAAATCTAAGGACAAATGACTTCTTTTCTGTGCAACCTCTGAGGGAACTTTGTGGAACTCATAAAAACAAGTCTTTAAACAAAATAAAAAGCACTCTTAAGTGTCCTGAGCACAGTGCAAGTATTCCAATTCATACGTGTTTTATTATGATGACAAATTCAAACTGAACTGTGATTTCTTGTGGTGGAGGTCTAAAATCAAGGGCTTCTGTGAACAGTGTAATTTGTGAAACCTGGTTTCTTGTGGCTGTCTCACACTTGGATGATGCTGTCTGACAGCATGAACTGCAGTGGCAACTTCTGTTCTTGGGGTCTTCAGTATGACTGCTCCTCATGTAATTCCCAGCTCTATTAATATATCAGAGACTGTGCTACAGCCTCTCTCTCAATGTGGGTATTCACTTGGATCTTTCTTTTTTGCACAGATGCCTTTTTTTTTTTTTTTTCCCATAAAACCTAGAGGATATCTTTCTGAGTCACTATTTTGAATCTTACTGTTTGCCTGATTTGGTTGAAATTCCTTTAAAACAAGTTTTCTGGGGTGAATGGAAGCAAAAAAACATGGGTGTGGTAAAAAAACGTGATGTATAAGGTAATGCTGTTTCCTTATCCATAACCATAATTTCAGTAATACTTTATCAGTAAGTTTATTTATTGTGAAATTCCTATTCAAAATACTGGGAAAAAGTAAGTAACCATAACATCTCCTATGCCCAGAGATGTTTAGGGACTTTGGGCTCTGTGGTGGTCCAAACAACTGACATGTCACAGAGCTCCTGACTGTGCTCTGCAACCATCCCTCTCAGAGATACCAGCATGAGGTCATGTTATATTTTTTATTATCTGTATTTTAATTCAAGCATTTGAGATTACAGCAAACAACACTGCTGTTATATAAAGCATAATAATGGCTCGGTCCTTTACTTGCTGCCCTCAGCCACCAGACAACAGTCAGATATAAAAAGGTTCATAGATATTTCCTAGGTAGTGAAACCTCATGACACAATGTAGGATAAAGATTACTGATATTCAAGGCCTCTTTATACATACGTGTCTTTGCCCTCAGCTGGACAAACGATGTGAAGTGGCATTCCTGTATTGCTAAGGCTTATACAACGAACAGAACTGTGATTGTAATGTGTGAGGGCCCTGTGCATGATTTCTGAGTGCAATACATTTTGTTTCATTCTGGAAAAGAACTTTTAGAACACAAAGCATCTAAAAAAGCCTGATGAATTGTCAGAATTGATCAGAAGGAAACATCATTTTATTACTTAATATATTGCATTTACTCAATGCTTTGAATAAACAGATGATGCCCTCAAGGACGCTATTGTACCAAGCAAGTACAGAATAAAAAAATACTTGCCTTCTCCCAAGAGATCTCATGCTCGTGCCTAATTCTGTTATACACATGGGAAGTTCTGCATCTGGGCCCAAAAGCAAACTTATGACCATCAGCTCCTTGCTACCTACATCTACCTCTTCCAAACACAGCCACTCTGTGTTGCTCATGGGAGGTTGCACTTTAAGCTGCCATTTTCCACACCTGCATGTTCTGGTGAACTGAAAACTTCCACTGGTGTCACTAGAATTTCTAAGTGAAGCTAAGCAAGTAAAGTCAACAGCTGTTGGCTGCCTAAATAAAACTGAAAGTGTCCTTTTGAAAATCCTAGCACAGGAATTTTAGGTGCAGCAGAAATACATTAAGAGACTCCTTCTTCCACTGTTACTAAGTTCAATGCATTATAATTCATTTAAGACTCTGCATTTATCAATTCCAGACATGAATCATTTTCTAGCACTACACAGCATCACTCAAGCACCACAATCTACAGTGTAGTCAACTTTGACTAATTGTCCTAATCATATCTGGTACTTAGGACTAAAGCCCACCCCCTCCCCAAACAGACACAGACAAGATTAGCAATACTTTAAGCATATCATGTTTTCTTCCCAGCTTTCAATAGTGACATTTCTTAATTTCTATGAGATCATTATTTATTGATTATAATAGTGTCTAAAAATCCCAAATAGCAATTTTTGAAATGGAAACACAGATAAACAGAGATGTAAAAGCCCTGTAAATAAAAGGCCCAGAGAAACAATCAAATTACAGCAGTTTAAAGTACTGCAATTCAACAAAATTGTGGTTACTGAGCATGAGCTTGCTCTTAATTTGTTGCAGATAAGACACAAAATGCATTAAGTCAAACCTCTTTTACTGAGATTTAAGTGAATGTGTCCTACCTTGCTTCTGTTGCAGGTTAAAAGCATGGCGCCAACGAAGAAGTACTGAGTAATTGTGGCGTTAAGCCAGTCACTAGGGCACCCGAGCCCCATGTCACTCCCTGCATCATCCAGAGAGGTGTGTTATCACCCTGTGCACCTTGGCTACATGGGGTACCATGAAGCACAAGGTCAAAAACATGCTTCCTACTACCCTCTGCAAAAAGGGCAGATTAATACTTAATTAACATGTACCGACTTGTCTTGTGGTGCTTATAAAATGTGTTTTGCATTATGTTTTTGTAACAGTTGGCTAGCAAACCTTGACCTGCAAAGGTTAGGACGAATACCTGCACAGCTGGAGCCTTCAGTGGCCAATCACAGTCCTTCTCTCATCATTTCCCGTTTTTATAAATGTAAATATTGGAGGTCTTGTTTAAACCTTCAGAACCTAAACATGTCATCACTATTAATAACATATGTTATAAGACACCACATGCTGGCAAAATAACCTGCAGTAAATGACACCAAAAATATTGAAAAGCTTAGCATAAAATTGAAACTCGTTAATGGTACGCTGTGCAGTTTGGCATACAACTAGAGGCAAGAATTCCACACAATGGGACTGTGTGAGTGCTAACAGCAGGCTCCCACAAGATAAAATAAACTTGTTTTATGGACATGAGGAATTGATTTTTAATGAGATTCTGCTCGGCCGTAACATCATCCTGGGAGGGTGAGCTGGTTTTCCCCTTGCCTCTGGTGCAAAATTATAGTTTGCAGAAGAAAGGCACATTTAAATTAGGCCTATGGATTTGCACCTTCATCATATTAAGTGAAAAGTAGGTGTTATCCCAGGTCTGAGTATAAAACAGCTGTTAAAATGCCTACAAAGAAGATCTCCTCTTCCCCATATTACCTATCCGTACGTTCTGGGGTCGGGAGGTCAGCCTGCAAGCAGAACACACACTCCTCAAGTTCTTTAGGAGATAAATGAGCTCGCAAGCTTATTTCCTAAGGACAGAAGATTAGTAAAATACGTATAAATCTCTCTCTTAGGAGGAGCTGGGTAAAGGCATTTGAATTTATCTTTTCATGTTCAGGTCTCAACCGCCTGTTAAGAAAAAGTTAAAGTCTAAAGAGGTTATCAAACCTGCAGTTTGATGTCAAATCACAGACACATCAAGAAAGAGCTGTCCCTCTGCTGCCTATTCACATTTGATTCTCTATCTTATTCATTCCATCAGGTGGAATTCCACAATACCAAACTTGCGCTTTGAAGGCCCCCCAAAACTGATATCAAACAAATGGAAAATGCCTCGCAGCCAGGCAGCATTGTGGGAAAAACAGAACACAAAAGCAAGCACAAATATCAAGCTTCCTTAACTTTAAGCTCAAAACATTTTCTTTAAAAAGCAATCACAGTTTTGCTTCCCAATTCAATGTCACTTGGCCCTGAACGAGCTGAGCTGCATGGTGTTGTTGCTTTTCTTTCCTCTCTGCTGTTATGGTTTGCACTGTTTGTGTGCAATCATTGGCTTTTAATTGCCTTCTATTGCCTATTTCATTCGTCAATAAATAGAAAGTGCAGACCTATCACCAAAGACCTTACATCTGTTTCTCATACATCTTAGCCACCCATGGTGCCTTAAGCTTAAGCTATCCCCTACTGCTAACCAGGCTACCAGTTTATTAGGGTTTTTTTTCCCTGCCCTTTTAAAAAGATGAAAGTCCCTAAAAGCTTTTTTTGTGCAAGTGATGGTTGAAGTTAATGAAGTAAGCATCTGTTAGGTGAGAGAAGGTCACCCTGGGGTTGGGCACCTCCCAGTGGTGGAACTGGCATTAACCCAGCGATTAGTATGTGATGACAACACCTTAAAGATAATTAGTTGACAATGAGTTGAGAGCCTGTTAACCCCTTTAACACCTTATAGTTTATGATTATAATGAAACACTTTGGGACAAAACAAAATAGATCTAGTTTTTCTCATTGACTTACCATTTCTTGGTGTTTCACTTATCATGCTTGTGACCTTGTTCCAAAGAAAGAAATAGCTGCTAGCAGCCCAGAGTATGTTTCTTATCTTCAACCATCAGAGCTAAAATGCAGCTTTTCTGTCCATTTTCCTCCACAGGCAACAAGGTTAAAGACTCTTTGGCCAAGAGTAGAAGCCATTGCTGGGATAGACACAGGAGAACACGTATGAGTAAGTTAACGATTACAACATTTCTCACATTAATGGCATTTCTCATGTGACTGAAGACTGAAATCTCAAGCTGATTTTTATTTCCTGTCCCTGCCATTTTGATGGAGGCCATTGGATTTGAGTCATCTGAGTGTTACAGCTGAGTTCACTGAGGCTTCCCCAAGAAACAAGGGCTATTTGGAAGAAGGAGAGAGAGAGGCTTTTATAAACTCTGTATAGTCAGGCAGGATCAGGCTGCATCTCCATTTGGGTGAAGCAAACAGGAAACAGCATTGATTGTGGGTGTGGGGAGAGGAGAAGGAAGCAAATGGAGAACAACTGGCAGTCTGCTGTGATTTATGTAGGCTGGCGCTTCCCATCTTCATTCATTCACTCAACGTGTTTAATCACAATGTAAGAGCTCAAATTAATTATGAGCGGCAGCAGCTCCAGAAATTGGGCAATAGCAAAGTAAAATGAATCTGTGCACAGCATTCAAGAAAAGCCTGTCTTGATATTGAAACTGAAATTCCAATTAATTTACAAAGATACACTTCTCACTTTCCTCTTCTTTTGCAATTTCTAGGTCAATGTGTTACAGGCAGTCTTGGTGAGAAATTTTTATGAGAACATGTACTTGTGCCATTTTTTCACACAGAGCCAGAACAAGAATTGCTCTCACTTTCATTAAGCTTAGCGTAGGACTTCGACTGATTTCAGCAGCAACAGGCTTTAAGTTTGGTGTGTACCCAAAGACACGGCTGTCTAGGCTGATCTGTCAACTTTCTGAAACACGCCCATCATTAACAGTTACCAGGGTGTTAGGATGTACAGTAGTTCCACACAATCCTCATTTCTCCTGTGCCTCCAATTTCAGCCCCTTAAAATGCTTTAAAAACACCAGTAAATTAAGTTCCATTGTGGCAAAACTTCCCTGGAGAGACTTTTATTCCCAGCTGACAGGCAAGGCAAATGCTTCCAAAGGATCCCTGTAGCAGTTACAACCCAGACCTCCTGGCTCCCAGCCTTGTGCTTTACTGCTAATTAAATACATCTAGCTTAATGCAGAAAATGTAGTTTTGTTATGGCTTTTTACATTTAAAGGCAATATATGGATTCAGCACTATATCAAATGTCCATAAATTCAAAAATAAAGTATTTCCAACAACTTATAAGTCACTTATTAACTAACCTGTACTACTGGATAGTTCTGAGATTACAGAAAAATTGCTGTTATTTATCTTAATATAATTTTAGGAATAGAAAAACTGTCATTCTCCAGAAGTTGAGACTCTGTTATCCAAAACTGATTCACTTCTCTGCTGTTATGACCATCAGTTCTTTTAGCAGTGAAAAGAGCTTGCAGTAACTTCATCGTAAACACAGTGAATATAACTTGCTATTGTGGGTAGATGGGTCATAAAACCAGAATCCTTAGATCACATCATTGATTGTTTGAATGTTGATTATTGAGTGTAATTTGGGGTTAATTAACTCATCTCCTCCACGATACTGCAGAAAAATATTTTTAAAATACCTTACAGGATTCAGATTCTCTTGTCGGAGTTGTATTGCTCACATATTGGTCTTTACATTTACTTGTCCCCCTTCCTGTAACTCTTAACATTGTGACTAATCATGCATTTAAGTATAGAACTATTTGTCTGTCTATGAATTTCAAAAACATGGCATATATGTGGATGGATATAGATGGCCAACATCATGGGTTGAATCACTATCTAGTATAAAATGGCTTGGCTCCACTGGCTTCATCAGAGCTATGTAAATTTATGCCAGCTGAGGATCTGTCCTTATCTCTACAAAATTTTTTCTATCCAGTTACTTCCTTTGTCCATTTTTAAACTACTGTAGAACATCACTCTGGGCAACCCATCTAAAATATCTGTTTGATAATGGGATTCTGCATCAAGATGTACAACTCAGTTTGAATTTGGCACTTACCTGCATTCCTTGTTATCTCATCAAAACGATGAAGTCTCATGCTGATTTCAGCATAAGTGAATCCAGAAAACAGGCAACTTGGACAGGTATGCTGGAAACCAGACCTATGCAAAAGTCATAAGAATAGCTGGACGTGGAACAAGCGGAATTATCCAGGATATCAAGGCATGGTGTTCTTTCTTTGTACGACTCACAACTTGTTCCAAAGACGTTTACAGAACCACTGCCACCACCTTGCTCAGTTGTGGGCTGCTGCCTCCTCAGTGGGGGTCAATCCAGCAAAATTTCCAGATGGCTTTGCATTATCCCAGCAAAATGGGAACAGCTGCTTTGGTGGCTTTGAGCATAAAATATTTCCTTAAGAATTTTCAAGCCGTATTGTAAGGTGTCCAGGCATTTTCAGCTCTCAGCTAGGAAAAAACTTGTCAATATACATGGATTTGAGTACTAGGTATTTCCCCTCAGCATTTAATCTCACAAATAGGACAAACCAAAGCACATAGGCTATGTAGCTTCGGTATTCCGAGGGAGCAACCCATGTCTCACAACCAGAAAGGATTATTATGAGCTGGACGTTTTGACAGACATTGTTATTACTACTTAGTTTCACAACCTGGATGTTCTACAGAGGTGCAACCACAGCCAAAATGCGAAGCTGTGCAATGGCTCGTCTTGTCAGCATGTAGGGCCTTCTGTGGCAGCAACCTTATGCAGCTCTCCTGGACAGGAGAGAAGCAGAAATGGGCATTCTGTTGTCCAGTCATGAAACCAGCTTGACTGACTGCTCAGCAAAATGGTCATTGATTAAACAAATGTCTTCAGCTGAAGAGGTTACCAGCATAAAGTCATTTGAAAAAAAGAAGATCTCTGATGAGCAGCACTGCAGATGGAGAAACTTTCCATTGGTATAGAACTAAATAAATACTCCTCTCTCAATGTCAGCAAAATGCCTCCGCCAGCACAGCCAAGAAAAAGAAGGAAAACAGCGTGGGAGCCAGCACACAACCTTGTTTGGGGCTGCTTGAGACAGGAATGGAGTCTGATATGTTGCCATTTTCCATACACTGGCCATCACGGAAAAATAAAGTGACAGAAATAAACTTCAGAGACTTCAGAAAGATGAACAAAATTTTCCAGACCCCCTCATGATTTTATGCTGTTAAAAGCTCCTGCTAGACCAACCAGCAAATCTGCTCCCAAGCCCTTTTCCTGAAGTTGACAGAGATCCCATCAATAGAGCGTGGCCAGACCTAAATCCACCGAAACTCAGGAAAATATTGAGAGCATTCAGGAAGACTATGGGAGGATCTTTCCAGTAACAGAGGCTAGGAACATGCCTGGAGAATTGTGATAGTTCGCTTTGTCACCTTTATGTTTAGAGAAGATTATACAAATTGCAAGCCTGTGTCAGTTGACTTTTGCTTTCAGATAATCCTAAATATTCAAGCAAGCTTCCTTCTAGACAGGTAAATGCCTCTGAAGGTGACTTGTCCATATGTTTATTTATTAGCTGCCTATGTTTGTCATGTCCAGTACCGCATAGCTATCTGTGACCTGTTTTTCAGGCCAGAAATGTCATGCAAATCCACCACATCTTATTAGTGCTGCTGCTAGTTTGCCCATGAATGCCAGCTTTGAGATATTTCCCTGTTTATGTGAAGGCTGATCTGAAGGCTGTTCCAGTACCCGCAGATCACAGGCACTCTCCGTAGCAAGTAACACCAAGCCTGTAATACTCTCTAAACCAAGTTGTCTAATTTATCCCAAATTACAAAGGCAAGTGATGTAAGACCCGTAATAAAGAGGCATCAAACCTCAATGATCTTCTTTCCATATGAAAGTCTCCTTTGGTAAACAGTCTACTACTATCCAGGTCAAACTTATTATAGTTTGAATTTCAGGGCAAGAAGTTGCCATGTTGCTCCATGGGGACCCTGGCCATTTGACAGACCTGTCCAAGGGCTACCCAGCATGGGAGGCTGGAAGTTGTAAGAATCTCTTACCAGCCCCTTTTAGGGAGGGACAGACACAGACTTTGTTTTCTAGAGGAAAAGACAAGAGGGTTTATCCAAGAATTAGAAGGTTCTGAGCGAAGAGCACATGAGATGGGTGAAGAAACTTTAAAAAGCAAATATGCAACACATTTTTTTTCTTCAAAACTTGTGTATGTCTTTCAGAAGCTGAAGTAGCTCAACACTGTTTCTAATTAATAAAATTTGAAAACTTTACTTATCAGGTATCTGTGTTTCAGCTACCGCATGCCTTTGAAGAGATGACCTCTAAGACTAGGGAATGTGAAAGCCTGGAGCTCTGCAGAGGATATTCATACCAGCTGGAGTGTCTCTGAGGCGCTGTGGAGGTCTCAAGTAAGATTGCAAATGGTGACAGCATGCAATGGTAGGAGCATGCCAGATAGAGAACTGAGGCCATGTGAGACACGATCCATACCAAGGGAAAATTAAGGATGGGCAGGCCTTGTGCGGTGAGACCCACGCACAGGAGCCAGTTCTGTGTCCAGCTGGAGGAACTCTACTGGGGCCATGTGACATGCAATGCTCAGTTTTTGTTAACATCTGTGTGGTCTAATTTTCTATTACTGTCAGCAAGTTATTTCTAGGAGTGCCAGGTTATTTTGTCCATAAACATTGTCCCCATCACACATTTCTAATTTTAACCCTATTTGTCTCCGGTTGATTTACATTTGGCCAGAAGCAAATTACCTATTGGAAGCATTTATTGAAAATTAATTAGGTGGCTAAAATACCTCCAGCAGATTCTGTTGACGGTGTCTGTTCCTTGTGGCTCTCCAGAATTCAGTATTTTCCAGTTAAAACACCTAGCAATTAAAACAAATCCATAAAGTAAATGATATAATTAGTTCCAGAATGGAACTCAGTCTCTTTGAAATCAGATGCTTTCTTGTAAGGTTACAGTACCATACAATAGCAAGAGGTTTATAGTGCCAGGGGATTTTCAATAGACGAAAGAGTAAGGACTTATAATAGCTAGGTCACTGAGTGAGGCAGGATGAAGGTGTCCTTACCAGCTTAAAGTTGGTCAGGCATACAGGACAACTGTGCGGATACCAAAGCAAGGAACAGGAAAGAAGACAAGATGTATGAGGGGAGATTTAGAGGAAAAATAGAGGATTGCATCTGAGGCAATCACAGCACCCAAGAACAGGGAAAATACACACTGCATCTCTCTAAAGAAAAGCCAGGATGTTAACATGATTTACTGCAAATAGTTCCACAACATTAAAATGAGTTTTTATTTTCTGTGTGTGCTGCTTCAAAGAACAACTCTGTGGGCTCATAAAAATGCAGAGAACAAATAGGGGCCTCTAAGACCAATTTATATGCCATGCCCACTGTGCACTGAGACACATATAATCTGTAAAATGTCAGCTTCAAAGTTCCACAGAGATTGGTGTTAACCCTGACCCCCGACCTTGCCGACTCTAGCTGGGCCCTCATGCTCTCTTAACCAGCTGTTTTAGATAAATGTGCTCCATTTTTAAAGAGATTGTCTCAGAGTTTTACGTGAATAGTAGTAATATTATTAACTCTCGCTGAAAAAACCACCTTAACCGAGAGTCTTTACAGATGGGCCAATCAAAGTCTTACCCCATGCAGAGAGTGGTGGGTTAATAAATATGTCATTGGACTGAAAATATTTAAACAACACTGGGAGAAAAGAGCAAGGCATACGACAAAAGGAAAGCATATTAGTACTGTTTCCTGTCAAAATACACAGAGGAAGCACTTTACTTTGACCATTTTCCTCATAAAGAGACACGGTAGGCCAAAACAAACAAAGCTAAGGAATCTGGTTTATCCCACTGTTGGATACTGAGGACTATCAACTTAAATGAAGTAAGGCTGAGAGACCCAAACCAGGTTCTGCTCGACAAGACTGTTAATTGAACATATCAGCAGAGGCGAGACACACCGACTGTGGCCCTGTCGATCAATACCTCCATTTTATAAGGCCTTGTGCGCGTTTTTCATATTTTACTTTATGTATCTCGCCAAAATTAGGTGGGGGATTAGCCACTCATGGTCTGTCGGAAGTCCAAAAGTATGATGTAGCCTGCTGGTTTGGCAAACCGTGGACGAAGTCTAAATCATCCTTTTGAAAGGAAAATGTTGAAGTTCAAGGGTAGACAGTATATTTTAGACAACAAAGCAGCAGCTGGTGTCCACTCATAATAAATAAAAATAAGTTGGGGTCAGCAATACAAGTCAACTGGCTCCCCATTCACTGGAGGTGAGCCAAAGACAACTCGAGTCAAAGGGAAGGCTCGGAATGATTTCATGAGGTTTTGACTCAAACCCACTGCGAATGGGGTGAGAATATATCCACCGATTTCCATGGGATGTGGGTCTGGCTCTTCAGCGTTGCATTCTGAAACCACCTACCTTTCACTTTTTGCTACTGATATGTTCAAAAACTTTCTGAGTAGATAAAAGAATAAAACGTAGCTCCTTAAAAGCCACAACAAACACAATGATACTGGCTGTAGGTTACAAAGATGTAAGTGAGATTTAGAAATACTGCTGTTCCTTAATAAATAAAATAGCTTTTTGGTTTAAACCACTGTTTAAAATATTGCAGCCAAATTGTTTTCACACTATTTACTTCCAGGGACAGTGCAACCCCATCTTCTCACTGAGTTTCCAAACCTCGTTCCAGCCTTTCTGGGTTAGCAGATAACCATAATGCTAAGAAAGCAAACACACGATGGTCAGAACATGCCAAGTTACAGCTGAAAGCTCAACTTTTGCTCTTCCCGTCAGTACCTCATGACTCAGAAGAAGATCTCCATATTGTGATCAGTCACTTGGCTGTTACTGCAATACCAACAGGAACTTTATTCACTTACAAGCACAGCACCCACTCTGCAAAAGTGACTCAGGTCTAAGTGTCAAAATGCCATTGACAGGAAAGGTAAATTTGAAGAAGAATAACTCGTGATCATCTAAGCTTTAGCATATCTAAACATTTTCTTTCTGAGCTGTACTTCCCTTGAAGTTTGAAACTGTCCAAATTCTTTGACAATGCCAATAAATTCGGTTTGAAAGTTACTTCCCACATTATTGGATTCATGTTTTCTAAACAGAATATAACCTCCCACTAGAAAATGCAAAACACACACAAGAGAAGTTGGCAGAGACACAATAAATGAAAAGGCACAGAAACAAACAGAGGCTGCAATAAATATAATAAATACAAACAAAAACATATGAACAAAAATATACAAATAAATACAAACAATAAATACAAAATAAATACAAAAAAAAAACATAATAAATAAAACAGAGGAAATGCTGGGAAATCTGATGAAAGGACATACACAGATCTTTACAGAGGACTGAGCTGTGGCTGCTTTGCTTTTGTCAGTCATCTTTAATACATAAATTGGCTCCCTAGAAAATCCCTTTGTTTTTGAAATGTAATCTCCTTAAACAGCATGGGAGAGAAAAGACATTTAAGTTACAGACAAAACAAGTTTGTGAAGGTAAACATTTTGTTTTTCAAATCCCCAGAATAGGTTAATAGTTTTGAGCTCTGTGAACTTTCGGAGGTTTGCCCTTCCCCACTTGAAATATTTACTTCCTGTTCCCACTTGTGTCAACAGAAATTCTGTTGACTAACAAGGAAGCAAAAAAGGACATGAACACATGAAGCAACCTAAATAAGAAACATGTTTCTCAACACTTGTTTATGGTAAAAATCCAATTACGGTTCCTCAGGATGTCTGAACAGTATGACAAAGCCCTTGGGAAGTAGTAGATTGTCTTGATTTCAATTACAGCTCTTTCTAGGAATAAGAAGCTGTTCATCCTCAAAGTTGATCCCATTTTTTTAACCAAATATTTTCTCTACTAGAACCATGAGCCTATCATTGTCTGGCTCTCATTAGGATGCTATGAACTCTATGTGGAAACCCAATAGGAAGCACAATATGGGGCAGCAGGAAAACCCCTTTTCTTTGTAAAACCCCCACGGATCTACAAGCCTAACCCCGCACTTCTTTCTGCACCATCTGTCCTTTGCACATCCTACCCAGAGCTTGGTCCTTCTCTCCTTCTTCCCATTTGGCACAGCTTGCTTGTTGAGAGTACTCCTGTGTTACTGGTTCCCTTTTAAAACTGTCTGTGGGGAAAAAAAACATCTCTTGCTTACCCTTAATCTGCTCACTGCCTCTCTTGTAAAAAAAAAATAAAATAAAAATAAAGTATGTCTTACAAATAAAGACGCACAGCCCTATAATTAAGATACTGGCCTCATGTTTGGCAAACTCAGCCTTACATTCTTGCTCTACCAAAGACCTCCTGCGTGGCCTTGGGCAAATCATGAAGGGCTTAATCACAGAGCATCTCGTGGTACCTCACTCGCAGATACGGATCCTCAGCACACGGGCTGCAGTGCTTCTTGAGCCTGTATATCCAGATTACCACACTCAAAGCCATGAATGCATATAACTGCTCCACCACTGAGCACGTGCACTACAAGATATGTTTACCAGATCTCACGCAGCACCAAACATCAATTAGAGAGAGGGGTGGAAAAGGGTTGCTTTTATATCCAGTATTGGGAACACAGGGACATTGCCCACGATGTGCTGAACTTCAAGTTTTTTCTTGCCCAGTTTGAGCCTCTCACCTTCCTAAAGGTTTTCCTAATTACTGCACTATCTGATATTCTGAGGTTGATCTTGTTCAGACTCTCATTTATACAAAATAATTAAATGCTTACTGGGGCAACTGCTGTTCCCTAAGTGACTGTGCTAACCACCAAGCCTGAATAATTCACTCTCTGACCCTTCATGCATGTGAGCATTTAGAAAAATTACTCCGTGACATTATAGAGCTGCAGTTTTCATCAGTTTTCAATTTACAAGCCCCCTAAAATTTTTACAGAAGAAGTATGGATCTTTGAATAGAGAATTTAAACCAACTGACAATAGGCTTGCTTCTGTTAGTTGTTTTTCATGGACCTCTTGGAAGTATTCTACAGACTCCCAGAGGTACAGAGACCACAGGTTGAAAAACACTGTTGCAAAAAGAAAAAAGCACAGGTTTAATAACATAGGCTCATTCTCCCGAGGCTGTAAGACTGCTGCCTTCATAATGCATGTTCTGCAAGCCTTGGCTCTGAGAAGATGGAATATGAGACACGATCTAGACGTTCACCTGCCAAGTGAGGAAAATCCTTTCCCTTCCCAATGAGACACAAGTACTGGCACAGGGGGTCACTAAAACCAAGTGTTTGCTGTTGTGGTGATGTGGGTTCGAAAAAGACAGATGTGTGTGAAACAAGATCCCCTGTTCCTAAAGATCCCAGCATACTATAAGAAACTCATACGGGAACTCTGGCAGTTTTGAATTGCAGAAGATGTGGTTTGCTCCCCTGCCCCCTCCCTGCAAACAGAAAGGAAAAGAAGGAGACATGTCCTTACCTGATATTGATGGGGAGCACATTTCAAGTAGTCTGGAGGAATTTTTGAGCTGCAGCTTATGGTAACAATGTCACAGCTGCGATACCTGATTGTTGGAATCACCCTAAGATACTCACGTCTAGTAGGTGCTTGCCTAAACATGTCGAAAAAAATGCATTACCCAAATCAACAAATTTGCAGACATTCTCACATCTTATTTCTCTAAGGAGCTGGAGTGAATTTTCCAGTTAGAGGTCTGTTTTGTAATCACTTATGCTCCATTTAGCCACTGGAGGGAATGAAGCAATTCCAGGCCTGGTTCATCTGAAGTTTTTTTGGAGGTCTGCAATAAGATAAATCACACACGGTGTACCTCTCTCTCTGCGGACTAAAAAGAAATGTGCAATATTAACACTGCATAAAGGACTACGCTGTAGGCATTTCCACTTGAACGAATGAAACCCACTCCTCATGTTTAACTAGGGCTGGTTCACATTTTCTGGTGGAATAGCAATAACGAAACGTCCTCAAGAAAGAAAACATCAATTTCTGTAATCAACTTTGCAGACACTTATTTATTTCCCTATTGGGAGCCTGGGGTATTTATCTTCGGTCAATATTCACATCTGTACACACGTGAGTCGCCAAAATAGGGGCTGCAGGCCAAGCACCGCAGGGCCCTGTAGGCTGTGATGCATAGCTGAACTATGTTTCCTCTGATGGACTGTGGCAGCTTGGCAAACAGGACAGAAAAATCCAGCTCCTACTTATCTGGAGCTGGAACAAACTCCTATAATCTGTGCTTGTGTGTGAAGAGGATTGGGATGAAAATGCTGGTAGCCAAATAGCTGAGGAACAGAAATTGAGTTTATTCAAAAAGAAAGCTTCGTGGAAGCAAGAAGCGAGTTTTTTACTTCCAGATTATTCAATATATAAATAGGAACCATTACAGGAAGAGATTTCCAGGGGAAGAAAGCAGAATAAAACTGTTTTCCCATTTCAGTATGAGTAACACTCACTTGTGTGAGTTGTGGAGCCAGGAGCTGGACTCAGTGATGCTTGTGGGTCCCTTCCAACTCAGCATATTCCATCATTCTGTGATTCTAAGAAGGGAACTGATGCAGCTCACGAGCCCAGTGACTGTGGTATAGTCTAAACAAAACCCTGCTTCAAATCAATTACTTCAGTACTTTGCCTTGGGCAAAAAATATAGGCATTTTAATCAGCTCCAGTGTATTGCTGCAGCACATAGACTACAGAAGAGTAATTAAGGCCATAATTAAATTTTCAGTAAAAGGCTGAAGTGGGAATATGGGAAATAACGTAGGTATTGCTGGACGTAGCATTGCTGTTTTTCCACTGCATTGGTTATGGTAGGTGTTTGCCAGCTGGCACCAAGCAGAAAAGGGGTCAGTTGTCGGATGATTATCAACCGTGACACTGTTGGTTGGGTTTCCTGATGTGCAATTCCAAAACAGCTAGCCCAACAGTCATCAGTTATACTCACCATGGAAGGGGAAACCTGTGTGCTCAGAGCTTGTCACTTCTTGCCACCTGAAGTAACATTTCTTCCCAAAATAGTATTTTGAGAATAAGTTCCTCCTTAGCTGCTTCCTTCTGAATAGTGCAGGGTTAGGTGAATGAAAGCAGTACGCTGGTGGCCGTAACAAGAATGCAATGTGTAGTGAAAACAGTCGTTTTTTTGGGGGTGGGAGCTCATTCTGCTCTTCTGGGTTTGTTTCCACACTGTGGAAATAAGGACAGACAGCAACAGCGAACCATAAATAATTGTAGGGACTTAGAATATTCCTAGACATGTACGATGCAAATCCTGAAACTCTGTCAAGGTCCAAAAATGTGACATGCAAACCAGAATCAGAGCGCCTTTGTTGCCAGCTGTGGCTCTGGAAAACCATTAGTGGTAACTGAATTCAACAACACATCTCAAAAGGAACAGGAACCAAGGCTCGGTTTCTCAGTGCCAAAGTGCAAGAACCTCATACAAAGCACATCAGAAAACCAAGAACATTCCAGCACTTTGAAACCAGGTGTCAAATCTAAATTTCTGTAATAACCTGTTTGTTTTTTTTTTTCCCAGTAGCCAAAGCCTAAGCACTGATATCAAAAAAGATTTTTAGGCCATAAGAAATCATTGTGATAACCAAACGTGATCTCCAGCATAACACAACCCCGACATTCCTGTACCCAGAACAATGACTTGCACTTGTCATCGTTGTCCATCACGGTGTCTGTACCTCCTTACCCCCTCCTGGCCACCCACTTCTGCCTCTGTAGGAGGTGTTCGTGCAGCCTTGCAGCAAATCACATGAGGTGCTAGCTGAAAAAAAAAAGAGAAAAAAGGAAAAAAAAAAAAAAAAAAAAAAAGATAAGCCAAGCAGCCTTATTAACACAAACCTAACATCCCAACCCAATTATTCACACATTTCTAAGTGTGATCAGTTCACCACCCTGCTATGTACACGCCTGTGCCAAGCACACTCAGAAAAGCACCGGGCAGCCTGCAGTGAGCGTGGAGGGAGCGAGGCGCTGCGTTTTGCAGTGGCCAGCTTAAAGGGTCACCAGACTGCCTGTGTGTGGGCATGCACACGTGTTCATCGGTCTTTGCTGTTCATTCCCTCTCCCTCTATAACTCTTAAAACTGTCTGGTAACTTCAACCAAATGCGACAGCAGGGCTGAGGACTCAGATACACTGAGTTCCTACCTCTCACGTAGAAATTGGACGAGGGGAGAGAAAGTCCTCAGGGGAAAAAAGCCACAGTGTGAGCTCACCTCTTATCAGCCACCCGAGAATACACATGTGCAACCACTTCAGAGACACTGATGTTATTAGACACCGGAGAATCCACGCTGAAGAGGCACAGGAAGCCTGACTTCACAAGTTCCACTGCTCACTGAGCAACTTGTGAGATTTACTAGGTTTTACTCAACTGATTTGGGGTCTCTGAAGAATCTGCAGTGCTGACTGTACAAGAACAACTCACTCTGGCACTGGCAAGTAATTAAAGGGAAAAGAACCAGAACAGCCATTAAAAGAGTCAAGGCAACTTTTTGATCCAGGACTCTTTAAAAAAGTTAAACTAAAAATCAGCATGTAGGAGGAGAAACACTTCCAATCTGCCACACACGCTCTGTCCCCATCTCAAGTTTGGTCCTAGGGGGCTTGCAAAAGTGTTAATACCCTTTGCAGTGTCAGCCTGAGTTTCACCATCATGCGAATGTCCAAATTCATAGGAAAGCATACCCTGATCTAGGGCCTGAGAACCACTCTGGAAGCAGTTTATCACCCTGAACAAACCTAGTGGCTGGGGTTTAATACCCTTCACAACCTTTCCATGTATCAGCTGGAGCAAAGGAAGCCCTCTCTCAGGAGGGCCAGAGCTCAAACGAAACTTTCACCTGCCCCATTCTGTAAACTTTGAGTTTGGCTCAAGAAAATAAGGAAAGACTTCCTCCAAAAGATGGGTGAACACTTGATTTGTATTGGTGCTACAGTTTCATGCTCTGATTTTCCTTATACTTGTTCACTTTGTCCTGCAGAGGTCGGTCTTGCCTGCAACACTTTGCAAAATAGCAAGCCCTCTTGCTCCGCAAACGGTCGGTGTATTCCACTTTCCTAAAACTCTTCTGGGATTAGGAAGGTTTCTTTCCCAAAATGAACTTTACCTATACAACAGAGATGCAATGTTTTTATAATAATTTATGTTTAAAAAAAAAAAAAAAAAAAGTGATCATGACACTCCTAAATTATATAATTTATCCTAGGAAAAGAAAAGAGCAAATGATAAATCTTATTTCCCAAAAAACTCTGGTAATTGAAAATAAACTGGTCACATGAGTGAGTTTTGATATAAATATGCTAAATCAAGTCTTTTTATTGCCTTTTTATGTCCAACATTTGCACTTGCACTAACCAAGGTTTCTGGCCACAAGATGGGCAACAGAGCAAACTAAACAATAATTACACTGCTGTAAATGAACACGCGTTTGGATGCAGCCTTGCTCCTGAAGCTGTACCAGAACACAATCTCGGAGACTACAGCAGGCCTGAAATCCCTCTCTACCTCCACAGTTCTCAAATATATGAATGTAGAGATCTTTTCCTGACATTGCAACCCTTGGGTGTACTGCAAAAAAATCGACTGTCATCTTCTAAGAGAAGAAAATCTATCTCCAGAGCAATGAAGCACTGCAGCTTTGCTTATTTACCCTAAACACGATTTTACTTATCAAGTGCTAAAAGCTCCTTGCCTCTGAGCTGTGAGGGGGGTTTCTTATCTGCTCTAAGCCACTGAAACATGAGCTGAGTGGCAGCTCTTTGCTAAGCTGGTTTCGACAGCAATTTCACTAACATTTTCCAAACCAGTTCAACTTTCCCACCATCTCAGGACCGATCCCCAACTAGAAGTATTTAGCGTGGCAGCTGCTTCCTGAGACACTTGGCCTTCCGAATGCATTCCTCTGGGGCTAGGAGGAGGTTTCGAAGGAAGCCGGAGGTAGCTCACTTCTCAGCATTTTGTGGTCAGCCTCTTTTCCTCGCTGCAGCCTGGTCAGTGCGGATAGCCAGATAAGAAGGAAAGACAAAACGCTGTCAGCTTAAGTAACCTGGAGAGAAGCAGGGGCTCAGAACAGAGACAGATTTTCAGCTTGCACTTGTGTGAGGGTCAATTAAGCCAGGACTCTTGTTAAGACCAAGAGCAAACACAGCTAAAACAGTGGAAATAAGACCCAGTTGCTGGCAGAGAGGACAACGTCTGTGCTTTTTAGTAGGAAGATTAAGAATTCATGAGTAGGAACGAAGGCAAAAGTTCACCTGAGGAAACAAGGAGTTTGTCTGGAAGGCGACAGGGTCCTTTATTTAGACTTTATCCTGCCTTGTGCATTCCTGACTGTTGCTTCATATTGTCATGTGCTGGTTTGGATGAGCAGCTAATAGCAGCTGGCCCGCTTTAACTGACAGCTTGAAATTACCTTCAAAGCAAGCAGCATAAACTTGTGCTACTGTAGATGTGGAGGAGCTGACTCCTACCTATGCCTTCTATTAACAGGCAGGATTTCCTTACAACCTCTCAATACTTTCCAGGTGAAATCACCGAATCCCTACTGGGCTTTACGTACAGGATGGCTCACAGAAAAGTGGATTTTTGTCCATAGCGATTACGTCTCATTATTCTTGTCTGGCAAATGTATACTCTCACCTTTATTTGTCACCTTTCCTGCTCTTACACTTGTAAATGCTCCCCATGAGTTGAAAATATTTCTGAAGTGACTAGTCAGATATATAAAACAGACGCATGATTGCATCTTGGGATGAATTAATTCTGTCTGTGTGCGAGCAAAAGAATAAATGTGTAGGCAGATCAGGGAATACATTGGACTAAGCACAGCAGCTGATTTTTAAATCTCTAGATCTTGATCATTGTTTCTTTGTGTCTGTTCCCCCCACTTCTCATTTAAATGGCGAATCAAACCAGGAGGTTTTAAGAAGTAGTCCCATGTCAAGTATCACATATTAATTTAAATCAAACTATATTAGGGCCAAAATGTATCCAGCACTCTTAATTTCTGGTTTTCTGTCATCTGAAGTGTGACCTACAAGCAGTCAAGCCAGCAAGAATCTTCCTATAAACTAATAAGGCAAGGAGCCAATTCTGTAGGCCTTCTCTCAGATCCGTTTGTGTAATGTTTACTACCAGCAAACAGCACAAATACTCCCTGGGATTTGTAGGCGTAAATTAGGCTACCACATACACTGTGGCAGATATTCACATGTGCGGGTTCCCTCAGTGTATTTGGAACAACTGTTCTTTGTCTGAGAGCTTGACAACCTGGCCCTATATCTCAAGTGTCAGGGCTACAGTGAGTTTTATGGCTAGGCTCAGATCTTCTGAATTACATATATCATCCTGTACCGAGAGAGACCATGGGCATTGCTCTTTTGAGAGAGCAAGCAATACTTAGTGTAATTAAATCCTCACCTCTGAAAATCTGCATTGTATTTCCACATCCTCCACAGTCAGTATTTCATGATAGAAATATTAACGTTGCAACCAACAAAGCTGTAATAATGGCAAAGGTACGGCTAGGGAAGATCCTGCACAACCATACGACCAGCCAGGAACCTGGAAGAGGCATTTGAATCACTGAACCTAAGATGGGGCACCATAAACAAACCTATTACCATCACTTCCACAAATGTAAAGCTTTGTGCCCATGACAACAGCCTCTTGCCACTCCCATTAACTATGGACCATGGCTTGCTTTCACATCATCTGCTTTGTTACCTCCAGCAGGACAAGTGTTAAAACAAATGATGGTTTGAGTACGTGGTATTGGTTGGGCTCTCAGGAGAAACTGAGTCATTACCTGATGCCTTCTTACATGGCCTTGGGCATGGGAAGCCCAGATCCATCGAATACAGTTCGTTATTGCATCTGTGTCAACAGAAATCATGCACTGAACTATTTTGAGATGTCTGGTCTTGGTGATTCAGTTTTCTGCCTATAAAATCCCTGTTCATTAACTGTGATCTGTTTGAAGGGAATATTGTGAGGATGTATGTATGTTTTGACATCTTTTATGAGTGTATTTTTATCCTTATAACCCTGATGAGGCCAGGACACACCTAGAAAAGTAACAATGGTCATAGAACGACTTGGGTTGGAAGGGACATTAAAAATCATCTAATCCCTGCCTCTCTGCCATAGTCACACCGAACAGGAAAGATTTGGTCCTCTTTGTTTACACTGTCTCCACTCTCATTTAGAAAGGATATGTGAAGTGGACAAATCCAGCTTATTTTCTTATCAGCTTATTATATATTTGTGTGTAAAAATCCAGACTCGTGCAATTTAAAATAATGCATTAATGCCCTTGTAAAAATTCAGCCCTTTTACTTTTCTAAGAAGCCTGCTAACAGAAACAGCTACAGGGTCAATCTCAGGTATAATAGATTTTTCTTTTAGCCTTCAACAATAAAATAGTTGGTGGTCTCTAGTGCTACTGCCTTTAAAACATTCCTGGGTTTTATTAGGATAACCCATAAGTCTGGAAAGTCCCACCCTAAGAGCAGCAGCAGCTTTTGTTCAACAAACACAAGTTTCTTCTTGTACATTGTTGGACTCAAGGGTATCTGAACTATGAATGGGTGGCTAAGGGCATAATAGGCAACAGGTTTCAGACTTTTATGAGGGGAGGGAGAAAGGCAGCCCTGCATTTGGTGCTAATGTATAACACCACCTGAAACATGAAAGGATTTCACCCAGCTCCTGTTATACACGGTCAGATCCTCAACTGGTATAACACGGTGAAGCTCCACT